GTTTGAAATTTACTTTATTGGGCATGTGTGTGCTCACTTTCTGTTATTTCTAGATATGGTGAAGGATAAGTCTGAAACAGAACTTCCGTCAATGGAGTACCATACGTAAAAGAGGAGCTACAGTTCGAGGAGATGAAAGTACTGCACATACACACATACACATCGTACACTATTCACTTGTAACCAGATGCTTGCTGGGTGTAAGAAAAATTATGAATGAGAGATTGATCATTCTTTGAACAACTTTTGAAACACAATGAGTGTAACCCCCAACTATTTCTTTATTTATTATTATTATTATTTTATTTTATTTTATATAAATATAAATAAGTATTAATATAATATAATATAATTTAATTTATTTTAATAGAAATAATAATAATAAAAATTGGTAAAAAATTATTTAGGGACTTAATTAAAAATAATTTTGGAAAAAAGGGGTGAAAATTTGGGTTATGGGAGTATTTTTGAAAGAAAAATCAGAAACCGGAGGTCAAAACGCAATTTAAAAAAATTGTGCCACGTCAGCTGCCCGGTTAGCAGCCCCGGCCAACCAGGATGCGCTAGGTGGCAGAGACGCTGATGCGGGAGGCCACGCGAGAGGGAGCCATGTGGGCGATCTGCGTGCGCACGATCGAACGGCTGAGATCCGTTCCCGCGGGCACGGACGGCCCAGATCAAAAACGCGCAGGGACGGCCCAGATTGCATCACGCACGGACGGTCCAGATTGAATCGCGCACGGACGACCCATATTAAATCGCGATGAACGGTCCAGATTCATTCTCTATTTAATTGCGATCGGACGGTTCAGATTAAAAGCGATGGATGGCTCAGATCAAAAGCGGATGGGTATAAATAACCTCATTCGCACCCAAATCCAAGCCCTAGCCGCCAGAGCCCCTCGCCGGAGAAGACAGCCCAGCCGCCGGGGAGCCGACCGCCGCTACCCGCCGCCTTACCGAAGCAATTTTTGGCCGCCAAACGAGGTAAAAATTCTATTCTTTGCTCAGAATTTGACTCTAAACCCACCTATGGCCAAATCAGAGCGAAAGTACTGGCCAATTGGCCTGAAAATGCCGCTGAAGTTCAGCGGTGTCGCCGCAAGGTGTCTCGATTTTTGCCTCCGATCAGGCCATTCCCGATTCCCGTTCGATATGATTTTTTCACCGTTGTGATCACTGTTTCCTCCTCTACAGGTTGACCGGAGCAAAACACCCAACCGCGACGTGAGCCGGAGGTGCCGCCGCACGGGAGAGCCCCACCGGCGGTAAGTTTTGATTTTTCGTATTTTTTCGGTCCACCGAGGGCTCTATGTGTGTTTTCTCATAGGAACCGATGCAAGTTTGGTTGAATTCGATCAGAAACGGCCGAAAATAGTCAACCCCGGGTGGATCGCCGCTGCTTGTGCCGGAACATAGCGGAGCTGCCGTGCCGGAATTTCAAAATTGGTCGAGTAGGCCCTGAGTCTGATTTTTGGGTTATTTGGGGCATGTGTAGGTACCGTAAGCGCGTTTCAGTTCCTGGAGAAAAATTCAGGGAACCTAGGGACCGCCCGTAGGAGTAGTGAAAATCTAATTTTCGGCATCAAATCAAGTAAGGACCCCTCACCCTATTTGCTATTATGGAATTGAAGTTTGAATAAATGATAATATTGTATTTTGTACAAATTAAATTGATATGCATAATTAATTACGGTTGCTAATGGAGCCCGAACCAGACATATTTCTCTGTCAATTCCTGTTTGATTTATTTTACAGTTTAAATGCATCATGGTATCTGCTTTATTTATTTTATGATTTTGAATGCATTAATCACTGCTTACTTCACTACTGTTTGATTTTGAGAATCTAAGATATGCTTACTTTGTTGGATGCACGTTACTTGTTTATGTATTCATGTTTGAGTTGGTAATGGAGACTAAGGACAAATAGGAATGGGATGTGATTTGATAAATGGATAAGATGACAGCCTCAATAGATATCCTAGGAGATGGTGGAGGGACCGGGTTCATAGAAAATCCTACCGTGAATGTTGTCTCATACTGGACGGGTTATGGAGACTTTATTATTTTGGCGCTCATACCGGACGGGGTATAGGGACGACCCACTTCACCCTCATACCGGACGGAGTATTGAGGTCTATTGTTTTGGTACTCATACCGAACAGAGTATGAGGACGGCCCTGAAATTAAGTTTGTTAAGGGGAATGGTTCACGTATAGCGAGGACCCCTATGGATCCCCATGGATACTAGTAAACTGATAAAAATGGGAAATTATTGTTTGATGATTTGAATATAAAAGTATGATATGTGCTATGTTACAGATTATATATGAATTCATGATATTTATAATGTTATTGTTTCCATAGGTTGTTTTTATAAATCTCACTGCGGTAAGTGGACGGTAAATAGTTTGATTATTGATAAATGAATTTGTTTAAATCTACTGCTCCATTGGTTGTTTTAATTTTCTACTAGCCTTTACTTCTGTGACGGTGACTAGTGTGATGTCCTTACTGGGCTAGTGTAACTCATTTCTTATTTAACCATTTCAGATCAGTAGGATCTAGTTCCAGAGCCCGATCCACAAGAAGACGGCGAGTAGATGCTAGATACCTTATAGTTTCTTTTATTTTTCTCATTTCTCGTATTTCTTTTAGAGAATTTATTCCGTGATATTGTTTAGTACTTTTAAGTTATTGTGTAAGGGATATTAACCTTAATTTTTTATTTCGCTTCCGTACTCATATTATTATATGTATTTCTTTTTGAATTTTCGGGACCGTTACAATGAGCTTGTGGAATAGAAATTGTACAAACTTCAATGTATGATGGAAAACATGTGGGAATGGAGAGATAGATAATAAATACGTCCCTTGGTAGTTATCGAAGCATTAAAATAATATACTCTTGATAAGTAAGTCATAATATTTGATTTAACAAGTTTAAATCATAACTTATTAATATATCAATAGAGTTACAGTAATTGGACTGTATTTAATCCGAGTGAGCTATTAGATATCGTAAAAAAAAAAATTATATAATAACTATCCTCTATTAATTAGGATAAACACATATTTAATATCCTATTTATTATTTTAATTTAAAAAATAGATTGCATACCTCTATATATGTGTGTGTGTGTGTGTGTGTGTGAATATGAAGAATGCAAATATATATATTAGTTGTTGACAATGAATTTTAGAGTCTATTCGTTTGTGTTAAATTATTTAGAATTTTATATTTTTAAATTCATAATATTGAAATTGATTATAAATCTGAAGATAGTAGTAAAAACATAACATAAATTTGAACGTATTTTTTATTATAAAAATAATTTATTGTTTTGTTATCATTTGTAAAAATTTCATTTTTTTTTTCAATAATTACAAGTTTTTTACATGCATACACACACATATATAAATTGAGAAAATCTAAACGGTTATCTACCCTTAAACAAATTAATATTTCTTTAAGTGGTTTTTATTATTATCCAAGATGAATAATTATTATTATTATTACTGTTGTTGGTCTACAACAAATAGCATAACAACCTATAAGGTAATCCTAAAATTGATTAGTCAAAAGTGAAGATAAGAAATTAAGAGACAAACTAAATCATTGCACTCGAGTTTTTCTTTTGTCGGGCAAATGCACTTAACTTAATGAGTTACGTGTTGCCCATTTCATCATCCAAGAGACTAATAACCCTCATCCACAATACGAAAAGAAATATTGCCTTTACCATCTAATTACATCACCTCTTAACATCAGCACTATAATTATCAAATGGGCTACTCAGAATAATATGTGAAGGACGTATGGATAATTTACTTGTAAACCCAAATGCATAATCAAAATTAACACTCAATTCTACTGTTTTTTTTTTCTTTTTTTTCAAAATATCTATTTGTAAATAGAAATTTCTATACATGGTTATCTTTGGAACATTTCTGTAATTTATTTATAAATTTCTACTTTTCAATTAGAAGATGATATAAATTTTTTTATTAAAACATGATAAAGACTAACCTCATAAACTTATACCTCATTTTGAAACAAATTTACTTTTTTTAAAAAAAAAAAATCAAACTAACTATAGACTTATAGATAGATATTACAAAATTTCTAACTTTGTCCCAAACATAATAAGAAAGACATAAACAGACGTGAGAATGGCAAACGAGTACAACAAATTTCATTCCTTATAATGGAGTTGAGTACAAAGGCAATACATATACACCCACCTTTCTCTTAAAATGAAATAACAAATTATGCCCAGGGGGGAAAAAAGGAAAAGAGAGGGGGAAAAAAAAAGAAGGAAAAGGAAAATCAATATGAAGAAGATACATGCTTACCAAATAAAAGAATTCGGATCTGCAGCTGTCTTCAAAACTACAGTCTGTGACCATTACAAGACGCAGCAGCAGCAGCAGGAGAGAGCACCCCTAAAGGAAATTTTTTATAAAGCACCACTAAAAGGAATTAAAAGGAAGAAGAAACTCACTTCTCAGGCACCATCACAATCAACTCCAACACTAACAATAGCTACTACGTTCAATTTTCTTTTGATAAAAATAAAAAAGGGGTAATATGGGATATGCTAAACATGGCAATCCAGGTACCATCTGAATAAAATCACAACTTTTCAGATGAGGATAGGAAAGATCCAATATAACATCATGGATTGCAGCAGGTTAGGATATGCAAAATAGCTGGATCATTAATCATTTCTTCCGGGAATCTTTGTATCTAGAATAAATCAACTTTCCTCTTCTGCATGTCTTGCTTCCATTTCGGTAATGTATAGAATGCTTCTTTAGTCATACCAAATACAGTCTGGAACTCCTCATCCAACAGATATGCCTAGCAAACAAACAGAGAGTTGTCAACACCAATCCAAACAAAAAGGAAGAAACTATGCCATACTCGTGGCGGCACCCACCTCTCTCCGCTTAAAATCAATTCCAGTCACTGGATTCTCCGATTTGGCCTTCAGTTGATCATAACTGAATGTGCTTTGAGTAGTTCCACTATCGTTCTCATCCTGCTCCTCCTCTTGCTTCACTTCTGAATCATCCCCGTTACTCTCCGTTACTGATGCAACTTCCTCTGCTTCCTTGACTTCTGAAGCTTCATGAGAACCCTCTGGGTCAGACAGATTAGTTTCATCCTTCATTTCAGCTGCTAGTCCAAAGAGTGCATGTTAAGAAGCAATAACTTACACACGAAGACCATAACAAATAGAAAAAAAAGAGCTACAGTGGGCTATCAGAAGATTAAACATCCTATTCTATCCAGTGGCATGTTTTACGTGTATCACTGTCATCTTAAGAAGATCAAAGAGAAATAATATATTCCTTACCAAGAGGGCTGTTTTCTACAGGAGTACTGCTACTGGATTGGGTAGGAGAGGTATCAGTTGATTGCTTCTTCTTTTCAGCAGTGAGAACTTGGGAAAGAGCAGCTACCGCTGCTGCTCTTTGTGATCCTTGAGCAAGGCCAGGGGACTTTCTAGGAGGTGTTTTGGATGCAGGCGATGAGTTAAATGCAGATGACAGAGCAGCTAAAGCTGAGGCCCTTTGTGTTGGTCCCCCTTGGTTCCCATTGGACCTATCCTGATTCTGCAGAAAAGCTACCTCATTAGCCAATAAGTCGGGACATAATGATGTGATACAGTAAATAAACTACTGCCTAATAATAGAAGCATTTGAAAGTGAATACAAACACCACATGATCAAACTTTGGGTCATAAATGCTGAAACATTAAATGATAAATGCATGAGCAAGAAGCAAGTATAGGAGTGGCTAAGAGCAGATTAACAACTAAACAGTCCTTCATTCTTTTTCTTCTTCCTCCCTCATTTGAACTCCTCCGACAAGAATGAATGTCTTCACTGCATAACTGACAAGACCATGAAGATGTCTAACAGTCCATTGGAAACTTTAAATATCTGGCTTTCAAGAGTTTTATTTTAAATCCCTTTTGCTTCATCTCCAAGTAAAATGCAATATAAAGTGACCTAAATCAAGCATACAACATTAAGTAGGTAGCATTGTGCCAACTTGACTTCTCAAAGTTGTAAACCTTTCCTTTATCATGCAGGAAAATAGAACCATAAGTTCCAGGAGTTCCTAAGGCTATGTTTGTAACAAATCAAGGATATTCCGAAATTCATTTGGAAATCCATACATAAATTTAACTAGGAGTACAAAAATCTCATCTAATTGATAAACATTGAGCTCATATGGAATTCTGAGTCAAACTATGATAATGCATTCAAAGTTCTATTTTGAATTGGTCCTAATTCTACTTGGAATTCCATATAATTTCAATTTTTGTAATCTTCTAATCACTTTTTTATTCTGCCAAGTTATACTATTTGTCTATTTCCAAAAGAATTCTACAATCTTGATTTTTAAACAGCCTAATAAACTCCTACCCAAATTCTGAGGAAGATATACTGCCTTGCACAGCACCAACAAAAGAAAAGAAAGAAAGATAACATATTGCATAATGGAAAAGAGTCAAAACTTTTTTAGATTGCGGTAACATGAAACTTTTCAAGGAAAAAAAAAAGAAAAAAAAGAAAAATAATAACATGAGCTTCATTACCGATTGGGGTGATTTCCCAGAAGATGGGTTAAATGCAGAAGATAAAGCTGCTAAGGCTGAAGCTCTTTGAGTTGGTCCTCCTTGATTCCCATTGGATTTATCCTATATCAACAAAAACATGAAGTATGACGCAGTTGACTTCATATAGCCTTCTTTTTTTTAAAAAAAAAATATATAAGAATAGTCTAAATGTATCAAACTTTGATGGTATCCAGAAAGAATTTTGCCATCTCCTTAGAATTTCAAATCTGGTGTTACAAGGATTTCTTGCCTTATTCTAATTTATTCAAAATTTGGGTCTTTAAATCTTACTTGTAACTGGAGTTTTTCCGCACATGTAGTTGTTTATGTCTCTGTGCTCAGTAGAAGCCCTCAAGTTCTAGAAGAAGTTGCCTCTTTATTTGATTAGGCTATCTATCCTTCCGTTCCTAGATGGCACTCATGTTCTAGGCTTCAAATAAATCCTTTGTTATTTTCATAAGCATCCACACTTCTAGATGGGGCACATGTTCTGAAGTTTTATCATGGATTTTACTCATATTGATCATGCATCAAATAATTTAAGCCATTTCTCTAAACTTAAACAATACTCCTTGCCTCCTAATACCGCCTTATATGTAGTCAATGGATCACTAGCAGTTCATATTATTTCTATGTTCCCTCATCTCTCTTTGACTATTTGTTAGTCATCTTACAAAATGTTTTAATTGTAGTGCTTTTTTCTTTGTGGATTCATGTTATTCAGAATTTGAAGACTTCGAGGCAGAGGAGGATTTAAATCCAATTGCCTCTATTATGTCCAGTCCACCACAACTCTGACAAACAGAAGGTTTACCAATTTCCTGTACTAACATCAATCTTATTCTTGCCAAGACACTCAAAAACAACCTATTTTCATAACTTCCATCTTTCACGTGCCTCAGAAAAAGCTTCATGCTGAAGAAACAACAGATGTTAGTAGATTTCAGCTACCCAAAAATTGGTTGCCATAATCACTACAGCCATTTTATTATTATTCTTTATATCCTACAAGGTTAGGGTTCATTTTGTGCACGGAATCCTAATTTAGGTGTAACATCTTGTCCAAGATAAATAAAAGCAAACACTAACCTCCACTGCATGGCTTGCTCCAAATAATAATGCCACCTTCTTCTGAAAGGAGTTGCCTTGAACCTGAATTTTATGAAATATTAATTAAGGACACATTGAATATAAAAGCAGGAAAAATGAATACCACAGAGCATGGCATAAGGAATAATTTACTCTTCAAAGACGATTTCACATGTTGATAAAGCAAACCCAGAATTAAGTTCCTTGATCACGTTTTCTGCTTCTAACGTATAATGACATGTTTCTACCAAGTTATTTCCATGATTGATTGCTCTTGGATTATCATTTTCCTTTTTTGTTTTTGAAGTCTTAAGCACTCTCAGCAAGATCAGAAGCCAATATAATATTATCACATTATCAACATTTTATGATTTTCCAAGTGAGATTTGGTACTATATCTCCGTTATTTTTTTGGGAATAAAAGACTACATCTCCATTATTTAATCTGTTTGTTAAGACTGTACGGTTATTGGCATGCCCCTTCAAGCCTCATGGGTAGTTATACTTTCTCTCCAACCACACACTTCATTTCATAACCTCCTGTACTATGTTAGCAATATTACCGATTGCTTACACGGTACCGTGTAAAAAATATTATCCAACTCATGTAACTAACGATAAAGTTTTAAGTGCTCTTAAAAATTTTATATATATGCAATTCTCTGTTTCCCTGGCTGCCAATGCTCTATTCTCGACTTTGCATAATAACATACCTCATTTTACTGCTTTGACAAAGAAGTCAGTGACCATATAAAAAATTGGAATATATGCAAAGCTTAATGACATTTTATACTGGTAAAATACTATGGTCAACATACAGTAGCTTTTGCGGGCTCCCATAAAAAGTATGTTGTGAAGAAGCATGGCTCATTTCCTTCAGTGATTTTATATAGTGGAACTTTTGGGGATAAGCCCTCCAGTGAAGCAGCCATCTCTATGTATTTCTGCAAGGAACTTATACAATAAGTGAAACTAGATGAGAAATGGAAAAAAACAACGAACAAAATGGTTGGAAGCAGTACCCGGCCAATTTCAAAAGCATTTTGCTTTTCCTTTGGCTCTACGGACTGACCAACCCAAGCAAACACTTCAGCATGAGTGTCAAGAATCAACATGTCCTCAGTCAAAAGATCATCTTGAGAAAAATTGTAGATCTCCTCAACCTGTTAAAATAGAATATTGAATTGAATATCTAAGCTGGTAATTACCTGTAAAATCAATTTTGAATTACATTGACTCATCTCACCTGGAACTTTCCTGGCCGATCCACATGGGCAAAGAGATCGTTGAAAAAAGTTGGTTAGAACAGTAATCAGTTTTCTCAACATCAAAGAAAAATAGAAGAGTAGTTTGTTGATGATAGTTCCTTTTGGGCATATAAAATTGAAGCAGCACAATTAAGCTTATGAATAGGAAAATGCTACCTTTACTAAATGAGAATGAGAACAAATGAGGATCTCTGACAACCTCCTGAGAAACTTTCTTGCTGGTATAACTTTGTTTTCCTCCAAGTGCAAACCAAAATGACGAGCTCTCTGTTCCTTCTTTGGCATGTTTCAAAGTAACTCCAGGCTGAATTAGTAAAGAAATTTAGTTTTAATTAAACCACCGATAATTAAGAAAAAGAACGAAGTTACACCAAGCACAAATAGAAATGTCTTGAACAAACAAAAGAAAGCATGGGGACTAAAATATTGGCAAGACAATTTAACTATTTAAGCAAATTAACCTGACTAAGTTTATTGACCAATAAAAAAAAAGTGAAATCTCCCAATGAATAGTAATCTCAAAATTAAATATACATTCTGAAGGATAACCAACAAAGAATAACATTTGTTTGGAGAAATTTTACACTAAAAAGGATAGGAAATTTTAATTTTCTTTTTCCACTAAAAGGAATAGGAAATTTAATTTCCTTTTATAATAGAAATAAAGTTTTGGGAAAGTCTTATAATAAGAGGAAATAGGAAGATTTCCTATTTTCCTAATCCCTTACCATGACCTTCATCTGTGTGCGTCAGCCTTTGATGAGAATGAATTATTGTTTTTTGAGATAAAAATAATGTGTATAAAGTATAAGGCACCAAATGGATACCACGCATGTGTAAAATATTTAAAAATAAGTTAAAAAATTAAAAAAAAAATTCAAAATCATCTCACCTATATAAACCATGCTCTAGACTAAGAGACTCAAAAATATGTATTGATCTATCTCTAATTCTGATCAAATTCTCCACACACCCATCAAACGCTCTGTAATTTCTCCTGACGAGGATGATATCAATCAACCTAGAGATAGATCTAGGCATTCTTACCAAACAAGGGAATTCCATCATACCTTCAGGGAATGAAACAATCATAAACAATCTAGATGGAAAAGTGAACAGACATCTGGCATTACCAAACAAGTCAAGATAGATGTTACTAGCTATGATGGTCAACTCGATTATGATGTCCTCCTAGATTGGCTAATCAGCGTGGAGGGTTACTTTGAATTCTATGAGGTGACAGACATAGAAAGAGTCCGGTTTGCTAAGATGAAATTGAAAGGGTCAGCTAGAAAGTTTAGCAAGTTGTCTAACTGAATCGTGAGCGCCTGGAGGAGCCCTCCATAACTTAGTAACATGTGATGAAACAAAAGCTCAAAGAAAATTATTTATCAACCTACCACAAGAGATGATTGGTTGACCAATTACTTAGTCTTAAACAGTTGACTTCAAGTGCGAGTGATTACACATGTCTAGGTTTGAAGAATTGCTACTTACGTCTGCCTTGAAGAAAAACCTTGCATCATTATTACTAAATTTATCGATGGACTTAGGGCAGACCTTAAGAGACAACTCATGCACTATTCCTCAGATTCACTGGTAGATGCCTAAATTAGAGATCTAGAAGTTGAGAAGTACAATAGGAATCTTGTAGTCTCCCTTGCATGCTACCAAGGACACGACCAACTCAGTGAATGGCACATGATGGCATTTGTAGGAATAATGAATCTAGTATCTCCAATCCTCAACCTACAACCAGCAATTCTATTGTTCCTTATCCTAGGGGCTCTTCCAACGATGTATGACAAATAGGGTTGATTTATCCAATTAGAGATTTGGGAAGAAAGACCTAAATATCACACTTAGAGTTTCTTAGATATCACATGTGAAAAGTCTTAAACATCATATTTAAAATTGATTACATCATGCACCAGAAAAGTGAGAAATTCTTAAAAATATTATTGAATATTTAAATGAACAATAAATGAAATTACAACACTATTTATAATAATCTTTAAATAATTTTTTCTAACTGGAATTAAACTATAAAATGATTATATAGTAGAATTAAGAACACTAATCTTAATACAAATAGAAAATAATACTAATAAAAATAAACTTCTGACCCTAATAAAAATATAATTTTAAATTACTAAAATTATAATAATACTCTAAATAATATAATAATAGGCTCTTAAATAGTATAGCTGTTCTATATTTAATGTAATTATAATTTCTAATTTATTTAAGAAATCTAGTAATTGAAATCCAATATCTCCAAGTTTAGTTCTTAATAAAATTCCTTCAAGTTTTGTATTCAACTCTCTTTGTCTTATATCACATTCCTCAAGGTACAAGGGATGAAAATTACTGGTAATCCATCAGAAATTTGTGTTGGTTAAAAACTAATTCTTTAAATATTTAGTACAAAAATAATCAAAAGTACTATTAAAAGAGAAAACAAAAACATCAAAGTTCTAACATCATGTTCTTGGTTCTTGTTCTTTCTCTTTTATTCTCTTTTCCGAAAAAAAAGACGCTCTTTTAGGGGGTTTTCAAAGATAAAGTTGGACCAGCATTTAAAAGGAAACAAAATTCAATTTGTTTGTTAATGGAACCTAATACACATTATTTGAATTACAAAGCTTAGTCAACTTCACATATTTGACTTTATAGTATTCGAGAAGAATTTATATATACATATAATATTACTCTTTTGGGTTATTTGGAAAGAGCAGAACACGAGGACTTTTGAGGGGATTGATGATGCTAATGATTTTGATATTTTAAAAAATAGATGGCTCTAAACCCTTAATTTTTTATTACAGGGTCATCCTCTGATTACATTAGAGGATTTTGTGTAACTTGTTGATACGTTAATAGAATTGTAAGTGTCGTAAACCGGCAGCACTTCTTTGGTGCCTATATTTATACATGTTACACTTTATATTTCAATATATACATATATATACACATACGTATCACAGTAAAGCTAGGCATAGTTTATTACAGTTAAGCCAAAAGAACATTCTATTCAGTAAGAAACAAACCTTCAAGAATTCAGCAACCTTTGTAGCTAATTGCTGCTGCTCATAAGCACTTTGATTTCCATGCCAAATGAAGATTGAAGTGCCAGATTGCAGAAGAAAACACTCGGTAGAGTTCAACAATGTTGCCACCTAAATTAGAATAATGTGTGTAAACAGAGCTTCATGAGAAAAGAAGTAATAGACATAGAGGCTGGAAAGTAAGGGGCTGATAAAACAGAGTTAGATCTTGATTTAAGAAACAATCAAAACAACTAATTAATTTCAGGAGTTATCATTTCTAGTATATAGATGCCATCAACAAGGTCCTTTTGGTTTCACATATTTAAAACCGTCCAAAAAAAATTCCATAAGATTTAAACTACTTAATTTACATGGTATCATTGGTACAAGGCGTGATCTTTTGTTTCTTTGCATGTGCAAGACTAAATCTAGCACACTCATTTGAAAGTTACATCAGTGATTGAAGTAGGTACTTCAGTTCCAATCTAAAAAGATATTTAGAAAAGGAAAACTATGTTTTTTTTTTTTAAAGAAAGAAAAGGAGACCTATGTATTTCCTTCTTTTCTTATTAAAGAAATGTTATTAGAAAGAGAGAAATGAAATAAAAAAAGGAGGATGATCATCCTACAAAAGCATAAAAGAAAGACCCTTTAATACAAGGAAACAACCCAATCCTTTGCCAAGTAGACAAACAGAATTCCCAGGAAAAGACCATGAACCAGATGGCTGGAAGAAAAATATGGATATGTAAGTTCAAAACAGCATGAGGTGGTACTAACAAAGAAATGCAATCAGTGATCAATTTTCAAACGTTGAATTTGAAACAATTTTTATGGCCAAAACAGTAACCAAGTAGATTGTCATGTATCCAGAGAATTCAAATATACAATAAAAACAACTAAAGACAATTTAAGACATGAAAATTCAGACTTCCAGGAAGCCAAATGATAACACACCGCATCAACTTGCAATGCTTTATTGTTATGAACAGCAGTCCCAGATATCCGAATCAGTGCAACACTTTCTGATGTATATGTTTCATCCTGGACACCCTTCTCTGCTATGCTGTTTTTGTAACCGGAGCTAAGACCCCCCTATAGGATGAATTCAATCATTTACAAAACATTGCACCTCCATCTTCCAATTGTTACACAAGAATCTTACTAAAAGGATCTTTTTTCAGAATGATAAAAAAGATTGCTAGAGATAGGTTTATGCACAGGCCAAGAAAGTGTAACCTTGAGGATGACCATAGACTGAAAAAGTGCAACAAATTGTGGTGGCTCTTTATCCTGGAATATGTGACCCTGCAGGAAATATGCATTACAGATAGCTCTCTAATGGCAGATACCAACTTGACTAACAAAATATAATACCTGAACAGGTCTTCCCTTTAGTGAGTTTGACATTGTATTCGCCAATCGAATTGCCATCTTTTGGTCCTCCTACATAATTTAGATGAAAAAGAGGGGGGAAAAAACTTAAAGTTGTTAAAGTGAAAGAGGGCATGATGACGATGCAAGTTAATCAAACAAAACAACTCAATAACTTCTAGCTTCCTAAGGATTGAAAATTGGGTTGAGAGAGAGAGAGAGAGAGTTATATAAACTGTACGACGGACAGCATGCAGAATAAGCATATGCAGCCAGCATATTGAATCTGAGACATACAGATGCATGTAAACTAACAGTGGAAACCACAAGGATGATCAGGAAAACAGTCATGTGATAATCTAGCAGTACAAGATCCAAGCACTTGTAACTAAAAATACTGTTTCTTTTTTAAATAAGCAACTAAAAATACTACTAGCAAACAATAAATACAAGAAGCAAAAGAAAGACAAACAAAGTCATAGAAGAAACTTCCTTACGCAGATGGACAAACAGATTAAACACTACAAGCAAAACAGAATACAGAAAAAGGAATATTTGGCCTGTCATAAAAGAGAAAGTCAGAACAAAGTGGGTCTAACCATATTTAACAAAGATCACTGACTCTGAGAGGTGATGTCCCAGATCAATTTGATATAGTTTCTCTCTATTATCTCGTTAAGATCATGAAGAAAGATAGGTGGCCAATAGCAAGATTATAAAACGGAAACCATGAACCCAGGCACAGAAATTCTGACTAGCTAATTAGCTCATAGTTGAATATACAGATGACAACAAACATCCGACAAAAGATGTCCTGCAATACTTGAGATTGGGTTGAATTTTGATACCTTAACCTATGAACCTTCAATTACCTTTCAGTGCTGGATTTCTGAAATTAAGTCTCAGCCATAAACTGATTTATCTAATAAATTGATGGTTAAGACTTATTTCCACGTAATGTTAATGGTAAAAAAATTATTAAGTTCAAGGTATTATATATTTTAAACCAATGCATCACCAAATTTTCCTTTGACTTACGGATTCTTACAAAAAGAAACGTTTCTTTTTTTATATTTCATATGTGAAGGCTAGTATAAATATTATAAAAAATCATCTGACAAATGGAGGCAGGCAGCTTATGTCTTTGTTTCAAGACACTGGAGTTTCACAATGCATTTGCACTTTTGGCAATTACAATATTGCAGGGCATTTTTCATATTTCCTATGTGAAGACCAGTATAAAGATGATAAAATCATCTGACAACTGGAGGCAGGCAACCCGTGTCTTTGTTTCAGGAACACTTGAGTTTAACAATCCATTTGCACTCTTGCAATTACAATATTGCAGGGCAATTAGATAATGGCTTTCTAGTGACAAAAACTAAAAACATCATTAAAGTACTCCAAAAGCCCAACCTCCAACAAGTAAATTACCTCAATGCTATCTTTTCCAAACCAACAGCATAAGAAGTAATCTTCCTTCCGATCACCATGGTGATAGGTATAAAGAACAATATAGCAGTCCCCACTATAGAATTTACCAATTTCTTCTTTTGGCAAAGGAGTCTTGGCACTGCCATTGATGCACCATACCTACAAGATAAAGAACATCAATATTCCAAAGAAATATCATTAACCATCAGCATAATCAAATAAAGAAAGCAGCAAGGAAGGCAAACTAATCAACTGGACCTCCAGCTTTCCACCTCCTTCAAGCAGAGGTGGGACTTCCTCATTTACTGGAGAACTTTTTGTCATGCCCTTGACACCAACACCTTGTTGCTTAAGCAAAGCTAGCAATACATAAAATATAATATTCAATAATGCCAACAGAGAAAGTTTTAAATTTCATTAATAACTAGAAATGACTCTACCAGCTACTTTTCCTCTTCCTTCCTCAGCACCGGGAGTTGCAGAGCCCAAAGGCCAAGAGCCAAAATGGGACTTGAATGAATGCGTTTCATAACCTTGGATGAGACGAGTTATGCGTGTTGCCTTTGGCCTATTTTCACTAGCAATAAATTCCTGAAGAAAAAATCCACCAGTAAGCACTTGTTTTAGTATGGTTGGAAAAAAATCAACGTTAAGCCCCTGCCATTACCTCAGCGACTTGACTGGCAGCTTTTCTCTCCTCAACTTGTGTTACCCGACCAACCCAAACAAATACCTCAGCACCACAGTCAAGAAGATAGCATTTGTTATTTTCCAGCATGCCTTTGGATAATTCACCTTCAAGATGCTCCAGCTGACCATCATTAATGCTACAGAACATCGATTGCTAGTTACTACCACATCCTCTCTCTCTCTCTCACACATGCACATCAGTTTAGAAATATAGAGTATAGAAACTTATAAAAAAACAAAAAAAAAAAAAGAGAAACAAAAACTACAGTTTTGCTTGACATGGCTCACTGTTAGATGCCTGATCTTGAAACAACATCAAAATACATACCAAGATACTTTAGTTACCCTGCCTCCAAGTTATAGTCATAGTGTATTACCATGACCAGCATTCTAAAACTACAAGCAAAATTATTTAAGTAAGAAGCCTCCTCGCACTCTATAGTTTCAAGTTTTAGGTTAAAAAGTTGAACACCCTAAATTTTTTTTCTATGCTCCTAAGTAATATCTGTATGAAGCATGATCATAACCTAGCACCGTTTTATAAGGTTCTTTCCCTAGGTTAGGCCGCAATGATATCTTTCTTTTTTTTGAAATAACAGTCTGCAATGATATCAAATAAAGAAACAGGATAATGACATAATCAAGCTTATTCTGAGTTCCTGAAATATCATTTGTTGTTTGTATCAAGCAATCAAATCAGCCTCTCAGCCCATGAGTAAATTTAAAGATCAACTCTGCTTATATTATGGCAAAGGACTATGCAGTCAGTCGTGCAGAACTGTCAATCATATATAGAACTAAAAGCAATGGTGCAAGTTGAGAATATGAATCAGCATCTGTTCCACATATGGAAGTGATGGACGAAAAAGAAAAGTCAAGCATACGGAGAACTAAAAGCAATGGTACAACTATTTGGAGAGGGGCTACCTCAACTTGAATAAGAAAGTAGCTTCTAACACTAAAAAAGGGTCATGCGTATAGAGACTAAAAGCAATCTTACAAAAAGACTACAATACAGTAGATAAAGATTACCTGTAAAGTTTAGCAGGAGTAGTCTCAGGAATAACATCATCTTCACTGGCAACTTTCTTCCCAATTGGAGCAAAGCCACCAAAAAGGACCCAGAATTCACCAGAATCTGACTCAGTATCCAACTTCCCATCATCTGGAACGGAAAACACAATACTTGCTCATTGGCATGATGGTTACGAAATAGGAACAACTGATCTTCTAGAATATGAACTACTAGTTTAAAGATACAAATTCATCAGTTCTTGCTGCAATGAACCTAAATATCTATCTCATGGTTAATATGTGAGAAAACGAAATGCTGACCACTGTAGCCATAAACAAGTACTTACCGACAATTGCAACATTACATGTCCCATCATGATATTTCTCCTTCAAAAATTGAATTACTTCCAAGGCTTTGGCCCTCTCTTGAATATTAGAATTTGCACCATTGAACTGATAGATTTTATCTTGTGTATCGAGGATAAATACATCATCATGATTTAATGAAGATCGAGCAAAAGGAACCTGTTACCAAAAAGAAAAAAAAAATCAAAATAAACACAAGTCTAAGGCCTAAAATAAACTCTAATTAAAAATCATATGTTCATGATGTTCAACAAAGACTTTGGTACCTGCTTCAATCTGACAACACGTTTGCCTCTGCAGACATACAACCGTTTCTCAAATTCTTCTTCTTCTGGTTGTTTGAATCCGGATGCAACACCACCCTCCAATGGAATTATGCATGGTTTGAAGTATGATAAAAATTTGTCAGATTCATGACCTTGAAGTTCCCTGTGTTGTACTGCACGCCCTCCAAGAACTGCATCAAGCTCAACCGTCTTAATAGCTGCTGTTCCAGCTTCATCCTATGATTATTAGTCAAAAAATCAAGTGAGGTCATATTTCATACAGTTGTATTGACTCTAACTGCAATTCCAAGGAAAGTTTAAGCTCTTTGCTCAAACTTTCTTTCAACTTACGAATATGTATATATAAATATGTATACGTATATATACACACATGCACATATTTATATACATAGATTAGAACAAAGAAAAAAGGAAAAACAGTTAAGCATGCATACCTGAGTGGTATCTTTTCCAATCCAAAAGTGAATATCATATAGATAAGCGCCTCCCTTGCCAGGTGATGTCTACAGAATTAGGAAAGAAGAGCAGAAGAAGATATGAAATGCAAATCAGAAAATTGCTTTCTCCACAAGCAGTTCAGACATGGAAATCTTTCTCCCACTTTTCTGCTATTTTACAACACTTGCCCACCTCCGGTCCCCCAAACCAGAAACAATAGAATGGAAAGTAGAAACAAACAACAGGCAGGCAGAAAGGAATTATACAGGCATGTCATGTGTCACACTTCAAAAAGTTACATTTTTTAAGAACACTTGCAGGGGATACGTACACACAATATCATATGTGCTGTGCAGGGAATTGTAAGGATGAAAATGTGCATACACACGTAAACAAAGAACAAGAGAGGGAATACCTGCAAGATGATGTAAGAATCTCCCATATAGAATTTCCCATGTTCGGACTTGGGCACTGGAACTGGCTGAAAATTCTCAATTCGCCATGTTTCAGTGCCTCTGCAGGATGTTAAGTTTAACGATCTTAAATAGAAAACAACATGATTGATCTTTAATCACATCAACAAAAATAGAATATACTCCCTCAAGAACAAGAAAATAAGAAGATCATGTATTATTTATTTATTTTCTCTCTGATTGAGTGAAATAAAACAATCAATGTTAGCTCATTTGGCCACTAGGAGGGTGTACATCAATTATATACACAAAGGATACATTCTCTGTCCAACTCCCTGAAATGCAGGATCCAAAACTTTCGTCGAGCTAGACATTTTTGAAAATATTTCTTTATCAGATTTTTGTCCAGGAGTTAATAATAGATACAGAAAGCTCAGTAGTCTGCAATCTGGAAGCTGTAGAACAATACACTTCAGTAACAGAATGATGATTGTGCATGGACAAGGGAAAATTCAAGGGCAAAAAGGACCACAAGAAATTAAAATTTTTATTAAATCTTAAAGCTAGAGAAAACAGTATATAACACATGAAGCAGCATGGCAGTCATATGACTGGCTATCAGGTGCCATATAAGCAGAAATTATAAATTAAAAGAGAAGGAAAGATTTTTAAAGAAGATCTCAGAGTAAGGTGAAAAGAGAAAATATATCTTGCTCTTATTGCACTGTCCACCCACAATGAACATAAAAGAAAGGGGTGCAAAGAGAAAGATAGAGCTCAAATTTCAGATTTCCCCATGGCAGAAACCTACATGATTTTAACACAAAAGCAAATGTATTCATCGAAGCATTATGGGTAACCATTTTTTCTCTATTGCCAGTTTCTGTCAATTTTGTTCTGGTTCATGGATATATGGTGCTTCAACAGTTCAATTCCTTTATTACTAGATACCAAGACTCCAGAATTAATAATTGTCAACCATGCTCCTCGATATCTCCTTCTTCCAAGGCCATTTCCTCTGTGAGTTTCCATTTGATCATTATGCTTTAGGCTCTGAGTGATGAAATCCCATTATTAGCTCAACTTTCCAAGTCAGTTAGATGCTTTGGAAGTTAGAGCATGTATCACTTGTAGATTTTCATTTGCAAGGACCAGAGGAAGCAATAACTTTTAGAATTTGGATCGTCAAGAAAGGGAAATTCCAGGAGCTGCTTCAAAAACTGCAGCATCACATATTCTGTATCCTCCAAATCTATATTATTTGATGCTCGACCAATTGGCAGCACTAACCCAATCTAAAACCTATTGTTTAATATATAAAAGTGATCTAATCTAAAAGCCATCATTGAATATATTAAAGTGACTACATCCATGCTGTCACCAAATCCTCATTTCTTCACCTTGTAATAATCTTAGCCAAAGTTAAAAGTATGCTTAGTTGATTCTGATTTACAAAAAATAACAATCATCTTGATGTTGAAATTTCAGATTCCTGCAGAAATTACATCCAGACCAATGCCAGATAACTTGTTTAAAAAGGAACCCAACCTTTCAGTAGAAATAAGAATATGTAACACTGTTTGCCACTAAACATCTTGTGTTAAAAGCTCCTGGACGGACATGGTCTATCAAATATTCAATTCTAAGGAAAGCAACCCATCCTACATCCAGAAACTGCCTGAATCCTAAGCACGTACTAGAAGAAATGCTCATTGTTCAAAACTGCAGCCTCTTTGCATGTGTCTGATGCAAAGATTTTGGAGGAGCTAAAAATAGTTGACAAGCCTCAAATATCTCTGAAGTTAATGTTTAAAACCATCCTGAGCAATTGCAGTTCCGTTATTTGTTAACAGGAGAATGCAAAACTAAATCCAGATTTCCAGTTGACATCGTGAGCACCAATCCAAACAGCAATCATCTTAATCAATAAACAAAGAACAGAGAAACCGGGAATTTTCGTTTAAACCATTGTCAATCGCTTGTGATTGTAACTCCTTTTGTTGGAAGTTAGTTGAAAACTTTGTATGGGCCCTAAAGATACACATTATATTACAAGAAGATCTATACAAAAAAACAACCAAACAAACAGGCGAGATAGACATGATAAGGCAAATAAAAATATAAGAGAAACAAGCTTGTATAACAAGATCAAACCAGAAATTACCGAACAAAACAGAAAACCACAGAAATTGAACCGAGATCACGCAGGAACAGATCGATAAAATATAATCGGAGAAGAAAATAACAGAGATCTACATGAATTTGAACAAATTATCAAAACGATTAACCTGATCGGGGCCATAAACCAAAGCACAAAAGAATATAGAACGGAGGATGAAGAGAAAAACAGGTACCTGATAGATCTATCTGTATGTTGGTGTGTGTGTGTGTGTGTCAGTGATGATGGGTTTGGAGGGGAAGAAGGAGTAAGCAGAGCTGGCAATAAAGAGGGATAGAAAAGGAAGATACGTGAAAAGAAAAGTGAATTATTGCCGCGGGTTGGCTTTCTCTCTCCAACTTTTTTGGTTTTTGAGATTTGTAAGGAAAAGAAAATTCAGAGAGATGAATGAATTATGAAAAAGGTGAGAAGAGAAGAGGACGAGAAGAAATGAGAGGGAGAGGGAGAGGGAGGTTGGGGATGACACAGTCGCTATTTTAAGGCAATTAAAAAGATCCGGTGACGATGGCACCTGTCATGTTAGCTTCTTCTTGCTTACTTGGATTGAATTTTGTAACCAATCGGAGACTAATAATTATATTTATTTTATAATTAATAAATATTTTTTTGTTCAAATCATATTTATGAGATTAATTAATTAGTGAAGTTCTTTCTTATGAAAATGGTTTATTTAATTATTAAAATATATTAATTTATATTTAAAATAAATAAATTTGGGTTGGGGAAATATTGTGATGGCATTTAGACCACTAACCAATCTATTTCATTTGTAAATGGACCCCAAAAATTATCCATGGAAAAAATAAATGTCATTTATCCCATACCTATTGTTGATGAATCCTCTAACCATACTACTTTCATTATATATTATGTATTAACGATAAATTATAAATGAATTTATCTCAATATTTATGTAATTGAATACCCAAATAAATCTAACTCATTTAGTATATTATATGTAGTTCCTTTTGTATTACATATATTTTATTTTTTTTATAAAATTTAAATGTTATGTTAAAAGTATAATAGTATTTAACAACATACTTGTTGGCAATGTAACATATGTTATATCATATTAACTAAATAGAGTATTAATGTATGCTTATACAAATGACCAAAGAAGTGACAGATTACATCACCCCAAATTTTTTTAAAATTTCAATTTCAATTTCTTTTCCTAAAAAAAATTTAAAATTCATAATAAATAAATAAAATGTTGTTGTGGTGGGTCCAGCCTCATGGTCAAAACCATGGAGATAAGTCTTGGTTAATGTTCAAATATGTGTTTTTATTTAGAAATTTTAAATAATTTTATAATATATTGCATTAATGTTTTATTTTATTAAATTATATTATATTAATTTTGACAATTTATTTTTTGTTTAATAGCAAATCTATTAACTTATCAATTAAATTTGGAATACTGAAATCAATTTTTTTTTGGGGGGCAATTTATCAAA